TTACTTGAGTGTTATAGTAATGACATTGTTCGATAATTTTCATAGCCTGTTGGATCACTTTTCTTGGAATGGAAATAAATATGGACGTCTTCCAGTTAGTTGGCCAGGTAGTTAGTTGTCTTCCAAATTTCATGGCATAGACTATTGAGCATATTAAGGGTTTCATCTATTTGCTGAAACGTGTCACTTAGTATTCTTTCTGTTCCTGGGGCCTTATTTTTTGCCAATACTTTTAGAGCAACTTGAACTTATGGTTTCATTATCATTGATTCTGAAATATTTCAGTATTGACCAATTCTTTTTTTTTTTTTGTTATAATGACTCTGTATTCCTTCCCTCTTCTTTTGGTCCTTCTTGCATTATTCAAGATTTTGCCCATAGAATCCTTCCTGAGGAACTAATAAGCAATTATTGACATTGTACTCTCTAGCTTTCCTAGGTTGCTTTTATTTTTTTATTCACATTGTTTTGTAAATATGATTTGTATTTTTTGTGTATATGGGATCTGTCTTCCCATACAGTCTGTAAGCTCATCCTTTTATTTTTGTAAAATTTCTGTCTCTCTACAATTCCTCCATAGCGCCTAGTGTAGTGCTATACTTATTAAGTGATCATTGAATTTGACTGACATAAAGAGAGCTCTGGTGGTGTTTGCAGGGAGCTGGGCTGTTCATTGAAAAGCCAACCTCGAACCTCTTTGGTGTTTCAAACCCATTAGCTCCTTCCTGGGATGGGCAGACCCCTTCCATGGGAACTACAGCTTTAGAAACCCCATGGAGTGGCAGGTGTATAAGTCCATTCTGGCTCAAAGGCAATGAGTTTGAGTTTTGAAACAGACTTATAACAGGTGTTTTTAGGCTCAGAAGAAACACAAGGTCTTAGAGCCATCTCTTTGATGATTGTTCCAATCTCTTCCATCTTCTTATACTCTAGGTTCTGCACTGCTCTTTTACTTCTTTTCTTTCATTCTTAAGTTCTTTGCCTCCATTCCATGAAACATCCAATAAGGCTGCATGTTTCTTAGAAGTCAAATAAGTGGGTGCTTACACAGCCATTATCTTTTTCAAGAGCATATTATAGTATTCTAATGAAACTTGTCTTTGATTCATTCAAGGTCTTCTGTGTCCTCCTGTCTTGATTCCTTATTCTGTTTCATAGCACTGAGGCTTCATGAATTTTTGTAATATTTTTGCTGTTGAAGAATTGTTTCATCATTAAATATATTCATGTATCCAAGCTGCTACCATCTCTATCTCTATCTCTATCTATCTGATTGTATCTAAAACATAATATTTTCTCCTCAGATAATTTAATCAGAATTATTGAGAGAAGCTTCCTTTAAATACCTATATCCAGTTTTATCATTCAAACCAACTTATAGTCTTCTACACTTAGGTATTTTGCAAACAGTAAAGGAGTCATGGGAATAGAAATATCTGAAGGAACTTCATGGTCTATGTTGATCAATGCTAATGTGAGTAAAGCATCTTTAAAGAAGTATTACAGAAAATGGATTATCCCCATATGAAGAATAGCAGTTATGAGATAATCTGGTGTTGGCTTTTGAAGGCTAACACTATTGGAAATCATACCTGCTACAGGAAAATATTATTCCAAGTAGCTACAATTGTTGGATCAGACACATTCTTTATCAATAATGCCTGCAATGAGTTCCTTTGATGGAAGGTCTATTTTGTATCAAATAACATGAGAATTTTCATTCTAGAAACTATGAATGATAAGATCACATTGACACAGTAAATGGGGTAATGGAGATAAGAGTGTTTGAGACCATGAGACTGACTCAGGATAGGGCAGGGTTCAGAACTGTTGTACATAGGGTCCCTATGAGCCACAGACAATTCAGTGACACATAACAACAGCAATAACAACATATATTCATTGTTTGTTGTTGTTATGTGCTGTCGAGTTGCTTGCGACTCACAGTACAACAGCCCTAAAACCTGCTCTATCCTGTGCCAACTCCATTGTCTCCGACACACCTAACCTCATTATTTCAGTCACTGTATCAATCCATGTCATCAATGGTCTCCTTCTCTTTCTCAGTCCCTCTGCCCTTCCAAGCATGATGTCCTTCTGCAAGAAATGGTTCCTCCTTGCAACAAGTCCAAAGTATGTCCGTCAAAGAATCAAGAATCTTTGCCTCTAAGGAATAGGCTGGCTTCACCCTCTCCAGGACAAACTTGTTTGTTCTTCTGGCAGTCCATGGTATATTCAGAACTCTCTTCCAGCACCACAGCTCAAAGGCATCAATTCATTTTCTATAATCTCTAGTCATTATCCAGTGCTTTGGAGCATAGCAATCAATTGCAAATACTATGTCCTGGATCAGATGCACCTAAGTCTCTAGACTGACTAAGTTGTGCCAACAAATCAGGACAACCACTTGGCCAACTGACTATATAGAGATCTATATTTGTTCCCATTCAAAAGAAAGGCAACCCAAAAGAGTGTGGAAATTATAGAACAATATCATTAATATGCACAAGCAAGATTCTGCTGAAAATTATAAAAAACCAAGCAGGACGTCAACAAAGAACAGCCAGATGTGCAGGCTGGATTTAGAAGAGTTCATGGTGCCAGGGATATTATAGCTAATGTTAGATGGATCTTGGCTGAAAGCAGTGAGTACCAGAGGAATGTCTATCTGTGTTTCATTGACTATACAAAGGCATTTGACTCTGTGGATCACAACAAACTGTGGTTGACTCTGAGAAGAGTGGGAATCCCAGAACATTTGATTGTACTCATGCAAAACCTGTATTTGGACCAGGAGGCAGTTGTCAGAACAGAGCAAGGAGACAATGCATGGTTAAAAAAAATAAAAATCATTACATTGTTGTAAATCCTAATGTTGTTATGTGCCATAGTGTTGCCTGTGACTCATAGTGATCTTGTGGACAAAAGCTCTGAACTCTGCTCTATCTTGAGCCAATTTCATTGTCTCTGACACATCTACTTTCACTACCCCAGTCACTGAGTCAATCCATCTCATGCTGTCCCTCTATCCTTCCAAGCATGATAGCCTTCTCCGAGGTCTGGTCTCTCCTTCTAACAAGTCAAATTTATGTGAGACAGAGCTTCAAAATACTTGCCTCCAAGGAGTAGCCTGTTTTCACCTTTTCCAGGATGGACCTGTTTGTTCTTCTAGCAGTCCATAGTATATTCAATACTCTTCTCCAGCACTATAACTCAAAGGCATTGATTCTTCTATCATCTTTAATCATTGTCCAGCTCTCTGATGCACAGCAAGTTACTGTGAAGACCATGGCCTGGATTAGGCCCACTTCAGACTCCAGATTGACACTGTTGCTCTTCAGTACTCTAGCGAGGTCCATGACAGAAGATTTTTCCCAATGCAATTTGCATTTTGATTTACTAGCTGCTGGTATCAAGAGTGTTGATTATGGACCTAAACAAGGTGAAGTTGTCAACAATATTAATCTCTTCACCATCTATCAGGATGCTCCCAATTGGCCCAGTGGTGAGGATCTTTGTTTTCTTGATGTTGAGTTTCAATCCATATTGAAGCCTGCAGTCCTTGGTACCAACAACAACAAAAAAGTCCTAATACTAAATTCAAATTTGCTGTAATGATAAATTTGACAGTAATGAGGGGAAAATTTTGTCCAATATTACAGAAGTATGTATTTGGCAAACTTCATCGTTTAATAAAAATAAATAATAATAAAATATTGAATCATATGTCTGAGCAGTTTTACTTTTGAGAAAATTCTTTGAACAGTCTGGAATAATTCTCTCATTTAACAAATTAAAAACAAAAAAAACCACTTCTCTCTGTAGAGATTTTTGACAAGAAAAACTGTCTTATTAAGTGCAAGAGAATTTCACTTGCAATGAAATAATTTCTTCAATTAAAATGCAGCTAATAGAAAATTACTTTCTCTAATGTTTCAAAGTTGCTGTTATGTGCTGTAGAGTCGGAACTGACCCTCTAGCAGGTTTTCAGAGTGTAAATCACATAAGAAGATTCTACCCATTTGTCTCCTGTAAAGTAGCTGGTGGATTTGAAATGGGTGCCTCTAGGTTGGCAGCAAAAATTCTTAACCACTAAGCCACCATAGCTCCCTAGTGTTTCTAGTTGCCTCTTGATATCCCTCCTCCTTACACATAATTTCTCATGTACTGCATCTATTATTAGCATTATATGAACTTGTAAGTGGTTCTAGTATAGTGATAAACTTGAAGTTATATTTTTATTTTTAAATTGAAATTCTTACCTGCTCTTTATTTCCAGTTGAGTCAAACCCTCTATACTTGACAAATTAAGAACACTGAAACTGCTTAGTCCTAACACTGGAAATTTTTCAAGAGAAGCATAAAATTTAGGAGCATCTAGAATAGATACATAACTTACTTTGATTATTCCTGAGGAATGAGGTGTCTAGAAAAAATTATTACAGGAACTGCAAATACCAAGAGTGATTTGAAGAAACAAGTTTGCTTTCATTTGGTAAAATTGCAAATTAATAAGAGGGTGAAAGTGATTGCTTGTAAAAATGACAGATTCTCCCCTATCATAATTTAGGGACAGCCTGACACTGTAAAGGAAAGCATCTTGGGGCTGTACCCTCGTCAGATAGAATACGGAAAGGTATTTTCTATTCATTAGATAATTCCTTTCCTCTCCCCGCCCCCAGTCCGATCCAAGATGGCTTCCTAAACCAGGTAGCTAAATGTTTTCGTTTAGAGCGCCCCCACTGGCCGGGGTCGAAAAAGTATGTCGGAAGGCCTGGACGTCTGTGAATTGAGCCGTCAGAAATGAACTGCCGCCAGATTTTATTTTCAATCAGGCATATCTGTGGTTGCCTACGTATCCTTCTCAGCCTTTTAGGACCTCCCACTCTCAAGAGACTTCCGGGATGACGCTCACACTACCCTGTTGGAAAAAGCCTGCCATCAGCCCTGCGATTGGCGAGCTGGAGCGCAAGTGGGCGGAGCCGAAGAGAATGGACTACTAGCGTGCTCGGTTGAGATCAGAGTTGGCCATGCTCCGCCGGAAAGCGCCTTGTTCTGCGAGAGGGTGAGTGGCAAGGCTGGGTGCAAAGGAAGCATCAGGAGTTGTGCAGGTAGGCTTGGTGTTCATTCCGACTTCTCTATGCTGCTTCAAGACGCCTTGCAAACACTAAAGTTCTAATAATTAATTTTAATAACTCATTATTCTTCTTCCGCCCCCGTCCCCCGCCCGTCCCCCAATAGTGAGGGATCAGGTGCTGGTGATGCTCTGGACTGAACCATTCTTCTTTGTGAGAGGCGGGGGGTGGGGGGGAGGGTGGTTGCGGGGCTGCAGGGCTCTAGTGAGGCCAGGCCGTGAGGGGCCCGCCCGGGCGGCTGTGGCGTATTTAGGGCTTGTCATTGCATTACTGGGCGTGGTGTAGATTTGAGACAGCTCCTTGTTCTCCTTTCTGCCTCAGAGGAGAGTAAACTCCCCGATTCCGTTTGGTTACTCCATACTGTGGATTCATAAGTGAGAGGTTAGGAATCCTCCCCGCCCCCTTTTTTATATTAAAAAAATATTAGAAAGGAGGAGAGAAGCATGGGATGAATGCGTTGTCATATCCTTGTTATACATACTTAGAGTTTCTGCAGGCCTTTTGGGAGTAAAGGGCAGGTTGCTGGAGTTTAGAGATGATGGAAGAGCAGAGCTCAAGCCTTGTATCTTCAGTGACTAATCTGCAAGAGAATGCTGGGTTTCTGTTGCATTATGTAAATTCTCAGAGGACCCCCCCCACCACCTCGGAGTGAATGCTGTTTCTTTATTTACCTGTCTCCAGTGTCACAGGGATTTTTCTGCTCGTTGCAACAGCTATACATGTGCAGCAGATCATGCCTTTTTAGGGGCAGGCCTGAAGTGATTAAGTTCGTCAAAGAAGACATGTATAATTTATATGTGTATATACACATATATGCATTTATATGTATGTAAATTTCCAGTCTCATTTCAGTGATTGAACGCAGCCTGTAGTCCAAGACTTTGAAACTCAATTATCTTTTTTTTTTTTTAAAGAGAGTAGGCATAGGGGAACATCTCAAGTACACAGCCAGAGGAATTGCATTATCTGTGTCTGCTGCAGGCTACCATCACACCAACATCCACAATCATTTAATCTCCTTGTTGCTTTGAGCCTGTCAACTCAGACTTACTGATTGAGTTATCCTTAGCCTCAACTGAGGTCCTAGATGATACCGAGCACTTTAGATACTAGAAGGTGCGTTTGTGATTTGGGTAGTGTCTATTGCTATTTAGTTAGTTATTTAGACAATGATGTCTGCTTATGAATTTCTTTTGCTTTGGTCATGAGATAGATTTTAGAACAAATTGCAATCAGCTTTGTAGAGCTAGAATGTGGGAAGCTCCTCATTGCAGATACTTTAGAATTAGCTGGTTTAAAAAAATTATTATTAAATTTTATTAGTTTTAGTGAACATTTACAGAGATTTTGGGTTTTCATTCATTCATTGTTGCCCTGTTTTCTCTA